TCTGGCCTCCTCGCCCCACGACAGGCAATGGTTTCAAAAGCTGAGCCATCACAAGTGATTGATCTCTGGCTGCTTAACCAGCTTCTTCAAAGGCACCCATCGCTGACCAGGCGATAGAAGGTCAAAAATGAGGTCGCAGCGTTACATCATGCGCTTCTTTCTGATGGCCCACGACCATTCGGACCCTACAATAGTTAACAGGCTCCCTGCTATGGTTTGGGCTTGGATCAATTCGCTCTGTTCCTTGGAAGGGAGGAGAGCTGAAGAAGAAAGTTTGGCCGCAGGGACACAAGCCACTGACCCTGTGGGTCACAGCACATGCCCTGACCCATTTTATTTATACACCCAGATGGAGCCGGCGACGGGAGCATCGTCCGGCTACTGAGTCACATCTACCGGCTGGTGCCCTTGGAATGACTAGAGGTTCCTGATACGCTTCCAGATATGGACATTTACAGAGGAAAACTCAAAAAAAACCAGAGAACAAACAGAACCCAGAAGGATTTCTTACTGATACCCATGAAAGGACGTGACGTTTGAGAAATAAGCAGCAATAAACAAATCAGGGCGCTGAAGAACACAGACTAAGGTTAATTGCCTCAAAGTTCAAGTTTCAGTATCCCACATTTTTTGTTGGCTAATGGGAGAGGAGGTAATCATTTCCGCAAATACTGCGTAACTAGTCAGCAATCCAGAAATTAGAGAGAAAATGTCATGAGACAACTGATTTGACCCCATTTCAATTTATGCAGCATCATTTTTAACACAACTAGAACAAGTTCAAGCCACTAAATGGAAACCCTGGAAGATAAAAGTTTACGGGAGAAACATTTTCGTAACACTTTTTATTCTCTAACGCATTCGCAGCAGCAGCACAGCAAGCTGAATGATTCATACAGGTCTACTAATGTGAGAATAAACCTGTTACCGTGAATATCTGAAACAGGATTAAAGCATAAAAGCACTCATGGAGTGAAAACTGACCGCCGGACACATTTACATCCACCACTCTACGAAGGTTGTAATCCTATCAGATATTTCTACCAAACTCTTGGCACCCCTGGACACGTCTCACTGATTAAAAGGATTCTGGTTTGGTCGCATTACCAGACCTCTGAGATTTTATCCCGTTATTTATGTATTAATATCCAAATCATGATGGTTTTATTTGCATGCCAAGCACCTGCAGCTCAAATGGCTAACATTTATGTGCATTAGTTGGGGTTTTTTTCCCCCTTTAAGACTTGCTTTGGATTCTCTATGTACATGTCCGCATCAAGAATCACACCCAGATTAGAAGCATTTGCTGCCATGGTAATCACTGCTTAGAGCAACCGCAGGCTCGATTTGGAGTCTGGCTAACAGAGATGGCAATTTGGAAACCGTTGCTTTTTACACTCAAGCATTACTATCAAGTGACTGGGTGAAAACATATGGCCCATACACAGCGATGCTCTTGCATCCCGTATTCCACTTAGTGCGGCTCCTTCAGACACTCCAGTGAAAGGCAGAGTAAAATCAATCAGTGCCGGCCACTGAGTGTACTTAAAACTTTATTGCTGAGCCCTTGCGGACACAAATTCGGCTGGAAAGCTCAAGCAATAAGCAGTGAAGGTGGCTTAATGAGGGAGCGATCTAACTTCAGAGGGAAAAAGCCTTGCAGTGAAACTGTGAATACGGTCAGAACAAGAATTATGAAGAGTCTGGCAAGGTGTGAGTAACAACCACCAAGCGACGGCAGCTGGAGGGCGCAGCACCGCTGCACCACCACCACACATGCACGCTGACAAGGGTTGGTTAAGTTTTGATGGTCTTTTTTTACAGCAAAAAATATTGGATGATGAGACAAGGAGGAACAGTCTGTAAAAGAAAGGGACGTTGGTTGACAAAGAGGTGGGAAACAACCGAAAAGCTGCAATTACAATCCGTGCAGTAAGTTGGGAGTGTGTGTTCTCCTTAGCTTTCATTTTCCTACCTAACTGATACCCCATGGAGAAATGCAAGGGTTATGAAATACCACGGCGAACAGATGAATGAGCCTAAACACAAACTACGGGGTATTTCCTATGAAAAAAACAACCAGCCCAGCATAAATAAGATTTAAAAAAAAGAAGAAGAAAATTCAGTCCTTGTTTTCACCCTCGTCCTTTCAATTCTGCCATTTCGTTGCTTACTTATGCACACCAGATTTCACCCCATGGGTTGCCCACTACACCCTTGAAACTACGTGAATAATATTTTTCTGAGGAAGAGAAACCTCGGGCTAAAACAGCCTGGTGAAGAACTTGTGATGAAAAGGTACCACTGCCACAAAACCAGAAGCTTTCGACAAATAACAGGATGATCTGAACGGATTTGAGTTTCCACTTTCTAGCAACATTAAAGCAACTGAGAAGGTGAAGCTAGCGATGTTCGTCCTGGGTGATTTAACAGGATTTACTTGGCTACGTTTGTATCGGTGACTATAACTCTGGGCTCTTCTGTTGCGACACAAGAAATGAAGCGTTCGAGGCTGTGGAGGTTCCAGGGGCAATAGGACGTGCTGAGCCCACACGTGGAGGTGCTCAAACCCCAACACCCCGCTCTCACCAGCACCTCCTCTGCCTTTTGCTCCCAGTCCAACGCCAGGATATTGCCTTTCTTACCACTTGTTCGCTGCAAAGCACTCGCCCTTCTCAGCTGTGCGTTTGGGGAGATCCCCTCGATTAAAGGTGGAAAACCCCACACCGCAACATTCTCGTAACACCTACGGGGAGCGTTACAAGCTGCAGGGCAAGTGCCGCAGGGAATGCCATAGGAACCTGCTTTGCAAGTGACATCTGGATGCAGCTGTTTGGCACCGACACCTTCCCAAGTCAAACCTTCTTCGCTTTGTCCCGTTCTCCAAGAGGTTTTTTCCTTGTCCGTACCACGCCTGAGGCTCCCTGCCTGCTCATGTGTTTTCGCACCTCTACTCAGCTGGAAACGTTTAGAGTCCGCAGGTCTGCTGGTATCAATTTGGACTGGATGGAAAGATGAAAGACGCCAAGATATCACTTTCCGACCTGTTTTATTAAGGCCGGTGGCACCCTGCGGCAAGGGCTGCTGTTACTGTGGGCATGGGGGAGGGGTGGGGGAATACACACGTGGGACAAATCCACAGAAAACCACAGTCTGTTACTTCTCTTGCCCTTGGCAGACTTACTTTGTCTTGGAGAAAGAGTTAACTCAGATACTGTGTTTTGGCCTGAAGTAAATGCTTCCCTAAGTAGCCTTTTAAGGCATGGGCTACTTCCATCAGCCAGACACCGCCAGGACTGTTTCCTATACCGACTCGTAGTCGATGCTGCACTCCCGATCCGGCTTCTCCCACACCGATGCGGCCGCAGCTGGCATTCCCATCGCTACTGGGAGAACCACCAAGATTTCCGTGCTCACGTGTTCACTTGCACCAAAATCCCACTGCCGCGGGACGCTGAGGGAAGCTCTTCCCCAGGCCCTCCCGTTCCCACTCGACACCTTCCTGTACCCACCTGAGCTTCCACCACCTCCTCCAACACCCACAGCCCCCCCAAGAGCCAACATCAACTCCTCCAACATCCACAGCCCCCCAAGAGCCTGTGATCCCATCACCTCTATCGACAGAGAAAACCAGCACCACCTATGAGTTTGCATCAAAGCCGACGGGCACGCACCGTGAATGCAGCAGTCAAGGCTCTTGCGAGATGTTTGTCACTTGTTTACATGCATAAGGGGGGGGAAATGAGTCAGTCTGTGTATGCAGAACACGACTGATTTTTAAAAACTTGGGTTTTGAAAGAAATTAAAACATTTTCAGCTTGACTCCATGACTCAGAGCACATTTAAAAGGCTCCCTACCTGCTATTTAGCTGGTTATCAATACGGAGGCAGTTTACCGGGGCAAGGTAAGCCCAGCTGTACAAACCGATGAAGAAAGCCAACCCAAGCACACAGGGGACAGCTTCAGGTTATCTAGAGACTCGCCAGAGATACTTTGGTTGCAGACGGGAAGAAAGCACAGACTCCGGCTCCTGCGTTAAACGGCTAACAGCCGGGCGGCAACCAGCAGCCACAAAAGCCATCGAGGCTGAAGTCCCGGAGGTCAGGGACTGCTTCGTTAACGCCACAGCAGCGGGTTCAAACCCTCTGTACATATTTTAGGCAATGCTTTTTCCAGCCCAAGATCTGCCACTTCAAAAGGAGCAGACAATGCGTATCTGATTTGAGCAAACACCAGTGCTCAGATTAATTTAATGCTTACATCTAAAATTAGCCTGCCTTTTAAAAACTAATTCCTCCAGGCTTTGACTCCAGCATGATAATATTTCTTGATGGCGAAGAAACTGCCCGTACAACGACATGGACCCGTAGAGTTTCGTGATTGCCTTTCACATGACTCTGGAGCTATTAGCAATAGTGTTATGAAATGTTCCCAACTTTTAAACACCTTGGTCGATGGGGACACCAGGTCTGGTTCGGGGAGGACCAGCTCAACTTGCCTCCTGCTACAGGCGGTTCTCTGCAATTTTTGTTGTTGTTGAAATTATTAAATTATACCACAGGTCAGCACAGCCCCAAGGGTGAAAGCTAGAGAGCAAACCTCATTCCACCAGCAATATTAAACCCTTTACGGAAAGAGCACAGTTTAACAAGCCGGTCAGGTTTTGCCTCATTGCCATCGGTGAGGTTTTCTCCCAGCCACGGTCTGCCGGGAGAGCGGCGTTTCCGTGAAAAGCAGGGTCGGGGGGACACTACCATCACAGCAACTCCCTACAGCCGTTAACGCACAGCATCCCGGTGCCCGGGCTTTGCCAGCTTGCTCAAAACCCGGTGCTGCAGAGGCACCTTCCCAAGTTTCACCTACACCATCCTCTTTCCAAAGCAAAGCACTGACACGGGTCTCCAAGGGTAAGACCACAAACCACCACCACCACCGGTCTCTGCTTGGAGCACGCGCCCAGCAGGTCTCCGTGTAATACAGAAAGGAAAAAGCGGCTTACTCTGAGCGTCTTTGCGATTGGGGAAGGAGAGGACGGGGGAGAATCTGACTGAGCCTTCCTGCTGCGAGTGTACTCTTTACTCCTGGTGTACAAGGACGACATGGCCTCTCGGGCTGGGTGTCTTTGAGAAGCAACACAAGTCTTGCTCTCCTGTCGCTCTACGGCGCTGGGCAGGTCCTTCTTCCAAGGTCAGAACAAACTAATTAAACTATTCACAGCTCTGGTAATTAAAATCGGCTGTTTAGGGTGTGTAATTTTAGGCATTAATCTGCTGCAGGGAGAGCTGAGGCTCCATAATGTTTCTTGTCCGAGAAGAAGAAGAGAAAGCGTCGAGGACTCGCGGTGCTCCAGCGCTGGGCGTTGCTCTGTGCCAGCCTCACCGGCCCGGCCCCGTCCCGACTTCTCCGCAAAAGGACATTTCTCCTCGTCCAGAGTGTGTGCCACAGGACCGGAGCGACCTCCTCCCAAAACTGCGGGAGGCAAAAACTCCTGGCTCAAGAGAGCGAGCCAGAAAACCGGCTGAGTTTATCTAGACACGAAGCTTTTGCCAAAAAAAAAAAAGAAAAAGAAAAAGAAAAAGAAAAAAACCTGTTTTACTCCGGAGCGCTGCTGCGAGCTCTCTGCCGTCACTGCGCAGAGCTGCATGCTTTAAGCGAAACGTGAAAGCATAAATCAGGAACAAACGCTGGTTTGGAAAGGGGCAGTCCAGATGAAGTTGTGTTTTGTTCCGTCCTCCTCCTCCTCCGCCTCCTCCTGGGCGCCGTTACCCACGCGCAGGCTTCTCCCGTCCCTCCCCGCCGCTGCCTTCTGACATTCCAGATCCTGACTCGCTCCGCGAGGAATGCTGGAGGGCAGCCAGCAGCAACGATTTGCTTTCAGCTTGGGATTTGGGGGCTGCCACTTGTAGGGCAAAAAGGGAAAAAAAAAGGAAAAAAAAAAGGAAAAAAAAAAGAAAAAAGAAAAGAAAGAAAAAAAGAAAAGAAAGAAAAAAGAAAAGAAAGAAAAAAGAAAAGAAAGAAAAAAGAAAAGAAAGAAAAAAGAAAAGAAAGAAAAAAGAAAAGAAAGAAAAAAGAAAAAAAAAAGGGGGGGGGGGAGAAAAGAACTGACACGCTCCCAAGGCCTGGCGGGCTGCAAGCAGGAGGTTGGGGGCAAATTGACGGCACTTTGCGAAGCTTAAATTCCAGGGTGCGTTTTGCGGCTGCGACAAAGGGAGGCATTTTAAAGGACATGGAGGAGTTCATACCATTACAGAGAGGACACGCTCACGCAGCAAAATGGGATTTTTGTTGTTTGCTCGTAAGCCTGTTCGGAGCTGTGAGAAGGCGACGTGGAGCTCGTGTCGTGTCGGCTCGTTCAAACAGGCGTTTGGGACTGAGGAGGAGGGGAGAGGAGCTTGGAGGAAAGGAAGAAGGGTGGGGAGAGCATGTACCCCTCTCAACAATCTTCCAGCTCGCTCTTTGCTGAGCCGTGCTGCTGCTGCACGAGCTCGCTCACCGGAACACTGCTCCGCGGCGTCTCAGAGGCGGCAGGATCGTGCAGCGCGAAGGCAAGCGGACGTCCCTCACGTCCCATCGAAATAAGCACATGGGATGTTCCTTTGAAAACCACCCTCAACCACGGAGCGGGTGCACTGATTTAATACCTCTCATACACTAAATACAGTCCTGCAACCATAAGGTTGCAAATTCACGTTTTTCTTTGCTGGAAGGGCTTCAGCCCAGGTGTCTGCACTGCACTGGGTCCGGTGAGGCAGAGCAGGTGAATCAGCACCACCCCGAAGGATGTGTCCTCACCCAGACTCCTTCGCACCCACCCAAACCCTGACCAAGTTGCTGGCTACCTGCAGCACACCTTCTGTTCCAGCTCCGCAGGCTGCTTTATCATGAAACATTTCCTAGCAAGTGCAGAAGAATGTCTCTATAAAAATACTTTAAGAGTGGTACTACACTTGGATGTCTCTCTGTTGATCTGAAATACTGCCCCTTTTCTGTACACTGCTTGGCAACCGTGTCATTTTACTGACACACGGAGTTGGGAAAGGGTGCTCGGAATAGCAGCTGCATTAATTTCTCCTGCCGCCCAGCACCTTCACTATCCAGGCGCAATGCAGCATCGCTGGGTGACCACGGAGAGAGGGAACCGGGGCTGCCGGATTGTCCTTCTCTAGGAAAGTCACTTCGACATCAGGTTTCTACTTCATACCTCGTGGTGAGAAAGGAGGGGATTTGTTGTTCACCACAGGAAGGGGGAAAAAAAAAAAGAAAAAAAAGCTTGGAGAGGTCTAATTCTGCCTGGCAATGCTTCTGTATTCCCTTTTAAAGGTATGGAAATTAAGTCCAGACACAGAAGAAGGTAGTGACAGGCACCCCGCTGCTCCGGAGACCGTGGCAGGACCTTGATCTTTCCAGCCTCCATCTGTTGCACTCATCACCCCAACCCTCCACCTCTCCGTCTGACTGCCATACAGCGACAAGGTAATCTGGACTTTTCAAATGCATATTTATAGGACTCGCAGACACGCGTTATCCTTTTGCGCTAGTCTCAGTTTCTGGGGTTTCAAAACAGGACGAGTAGCTGAAACTGGGCTAACTCGTGTGGCCACCAGCAGACCCGAGTGTCTCAATCACAATTACAAGGCTGACAAAGCCCAGCTTAGTCACCAAGGTGGAGTTCAACAGCTCTAAATTGCAGGGCTTTGCCTCCCCTCCCCTCCCATCCAGTCCCAGATGAACCCTTGCTGCATCCTTCCACCGTCATGTTCCTTTGCCTCATCCTTCCACCGTCATGTTCCTGCGGAGGAGGTGCGGGAAAGCTCCAACATCAACATTTCGGTAGAGAACTCGCAGCCCGAGCCTCAAACCAAACCAAAACCTGAGCTTTCTATTCCCTGCTAATTAAAAGTTAATTAGTCATCCAGTGCAGATGCCTCACAGATTGACAAAATGCATCTTGGTGGACAATAACTCATTTTAAAGAGAAGGGGCGGCACGAGAACTACTGTCCTTATTAGCCAGCAGAATGAGATGCAATATGGCAAAACACGCCGGGTTTCACCACTCTTTCACCAAAGGTGCCTAATTTCTGGGTTTCTTCCTGCCATTCCGCAGTTTGCTTTCAAGTTCTCCCCTGTGTAAGTATGAAACCCGACTCTTCCTTTGCAGCACCGTGATGTTTGCAATATCCAAGGTCAGGGTTTAGATCTGACTGTTTCTGTCTGTTAAGGATTTTCCTCAGTACTAAACAGCCGCCCGGTCCGTGCCAGAGCTGTGCTGCTGCTTACTTTGCTAAGGAATATTTACACAGCTACCAGAAAGACTTGCAGAAAAAGACTTGCCCAGGCCGTATCTTCATGCTGCAGCGTATTTCTGGGCAACATCACCTTCAAGTTTCTTCTCATCTTTTGAGTACAGCAGCACAACTGTACCATAGTATAGTTCCTATATTTATATGAAATAGATGTCCTGTAATTAGAGCTATGGCCTTGACTATGATCGCTCTTTTCAGACATCTTTCCTCTTCCTTTCAGATGGCTGGCTGTCTTCTCCTTTCCGTTGGTAATGGCACCTGTCTTGTACCCAGTTTTTTTAATTTGTTAGAGGGGAGGACCCGTAGCCAAGAAAATGATGTACCAGAAAGAGGATGAAGCCCTGAGCTACGTACGTGAGGAGAAAATGACAAACACTCCTTTTTTGTGTGTTGAAAATCTTCACCTACAGAATGTGACACTGATAAAATAAATTTAAGCAGCACTGTGACTTTCCAACCTGCAGTAGACAAAAATGAGAAGCAAAGCTGGGAGTTAAAGCCAGAGCTGCAGAGTGATGCTCAGAGGTGATGTGAGCCCACAGCATGTTCTCCGGGAGTGCAGAGAAGGAAAGAACCCCTCTTGGGAGACCAGAATTCTAATAAAACTTGAAGGATGAGAGAGAGTAGTTGGTATTTGTGCAACAAATTATCCCCAAACCATGTCCTCAAAGTCATAGCTGTCATTTTCCGCATCAGGTTTATCACGCTCTCTGGTACATCACTGCATTTCTTCCCATTCAGCTGCCGACTTTCCTTCGTAGCCAAACCTCCCTGCCTCCCCAGCGCAGGCAGGTGTTGGAGAGCACGTTGGGGTCTCCAGCTACACAAGGCTCAGCTGATGGAGGGGCTGAGCTGAAGACATGAACCAGGGCTACACAGCCCCAGGATGCTCTCTGCACCACGCACCTTCTCGCAGGGCCTTCTTGGCTACATCGGTGAAATTAAACACAGCCGGGGCCATCCCTGCCCACCAGCACCAGGAGCTGTTGGCAGGTCTCTGGCATTGTCTCGTCCTTGGACGTCCAACTTTCTTCCACGCACAACCTGGGCGCTTGTGGGGGACAGGCGCCTTGGACACAAACCTCCAAGATGTGTGGATGAGCCTTCCTTGCCAGCTGGCCTCGGGGGTAGAGAACAGTTTCAGTTAGGTTTTGGTGGAACTAACCCACTGAGCCATTGAGGATGGTGTCTCACTGGTGGCAAAGCCCTTACTGCAACCTTCTCCTACGCTGGGCCGAGCAACGCAGAACCACAGGGCTCTACTGCAGGGACACAGGATGCGAATTCTAACCCAACCGGGCGAGCAGCAGGAGGGAGAGGCAGGCAACATGCTTCACGTTTTCCTTTGAACCGACCGCCGAGACCATTTTGCTCACTTTTCTTAATTGCTTAATTACCCCGACACCGCTGGAACCCCCTTCCACAGAGTTTAGCTGTTTGCTGTCCCATTAAACAACTCTTCACGACCCTTGCTTCTGGATTTCCCACCTGCAGGAGGAGAATGCACCGTTTGTGCGTGGAGTCATGTTCCAGACCAGGGAAACACTGAAATCTGTAATTCATATTTTATGCAATACTTAAATCAATTCTAAAGCTGTATTTGTTCTCACGATACTTCTCGGGAGAAACAGGGCCAAATAAACTATCCTGGCAGTTGGGTCCAAGAGCCACACCACAAAGCCACTATACGTCCATGAAATAATTGTGCTGGGTCTAAAGTAGTTCTGTAAAAAATCCAGAGAAACTCGGTTTAAACATGAAAAACCCATTAGCTATTGAACTATTGACGAGGGCTA